GCCCCATGGTGGTCCTGTAGCTCTGCAGAGGTTCCAAAAGCCAAAGAAAAAAAATTGTATTTAAACATCTAAAGAATATGCAGAAAGCTGTAGGGGTAGTGGCTTTTTTTGGATGTATATTTTCTCCTTTCTTTTGTTGCTGCTAAATATCTGCCATATCTATCTATGCCTTATCTATACCAACCCTCCTACTGTTGTTATCACCAGTAGAGCTGAACAACAATATGAAAGCTAAGACAAAATTAGTACAGAAATAAACTTTGGCACACCCTTTCTACTCTGTCCCTTCTCCTGCTCTGAGAGGGATTGCTCTTTAAGTGTGTTTAACTACATAGGTCGCAATGGTTTTTACAATGTTACTCAAACCATGCAAATTACCACCAGCAACTATGCTTTCTGAACATAAAGGCAATAAAATAAAGAGAAATTATCACACAACTAATTAGCTGGTTTTTTGGAAATGGAGGTGTGAAAACTGCTTGCCTGTGCATTTACTTTGTACCAGTAGCTGCAAACACATTCAATACAATAAAGAGGAAGGAGCTTTGGTACAATCGGATGGCTGCTTGCTGGGGACTAAGGCTTCTCCAGCCTCTCCCAGTGCTCAGTGTTACCTGCAGCTTTCTAGTGCTAAATTAAACATGCTGAGGCCAGTGAGATAAATACTCATGGATGCCGAATCTTCTTCCACTTGGCTACAGCATTACAAAGCACCCAACACCGCCTTGTTTTCTGATAGATACCATCTAGGTAGGACGTTTCCACAAGTTTCTGGTATTACAATCCATATGACAGAAACCAGCCTAAATTTCACTGAATGTAAGAACCTCTTCTACACTGCCTCACCACTTAACTTGCTGTGATAATCAAACAACTGTTCCATAACACACTATGGTCAACATGACCTGAAGGAAGAGACCAACTACAGTCCTAAAAGTAAAACAGCTTCGATCCCAACACCACGCCTCAGAAAAATCAATACTTTAAAAAATACAAAAGTTCCAGACCACACTCCCCATTGGGCCAGATGGCTTTCCCTCACCCTACCCCAACTGGTATGTATATAAGCATGTGTGTCCATAAATAAAAATCTCAAAAATAGCTGAAGACATTAAGAAACACTTAATCATCTATTATTCATCTTCGCTTATCAGTCTGGAACTTGGAGAACTTAAACCACAAGCTGTCTCCAATAAGATAACCCTGTTCAAATGTTGCAAAAAGATCTGTTGCTGAATTCTTCAAGCCTAAAGAGGTGTCTGCGCTTACAGTCATCAACAAGGAGAAAAAAAGGGAAGAAAAATTGCATCAGTTCTGCTGAAAATTGGTGCAATTAGTTTAGTAACCGGACCACAATGACAGGCCCTTTCTTGCTAGCAGTTACAGTCAAAGACAGAATTAAAAAGAGGTTTTGAAATGCACTTTGCTGTTCTGATTTAGTCAAGTTTTTCAGAAGTCTGGTGACAGCCTGCTCTCGTAAACTGAAGGATCCCCAACTGTCTTCTCAATTGCAAATAAATATCATAACCCTCACATAGCATCTTTGAGTAATATTTCAAAAGCAAGAGACAAGATCTGAGTTGCAAAGATGATTCAGAGTAGTGGGTGAGGAATGTAAATTCCATTTTGCAAAACATTTGGTCTACTAAGCCCTCTATTACCCCACAAGACATGTCAGGTTCTGTCGTGAACAGGCATTCTTTATCAGCTAAGAGACCACGTTTACAGGAGTTGGGGTTAAATACTGCCTGAAGTGCTTATATGTTATCA